CTTGTAGAATCTTTTTTTTACTTCCTTGTACGAAGCAAAAAGGAAGTATTGCAATCGCGAAAAGCTTCAGACAGCATATTTCAACGAAAATATCCACTTTGACCGCTTTCGAATGCAATTTAACGAAGTTTTTACGTGATATCTGTACGTAAGGACAGAATAAAAGACTCTTTTCCTCGAAAAAACTAAAAAACTGCTTTAAAATGAATTCTGAAGAGAATTTTTCGTGGCGTCTGTACGAACGTACGTACGTATCTCGCATAACTCAAAAACGAGTAGTACATGTAGATGTGCACCTCGTATTTTGGTTTCAATCGGCCGCTCCAAACGTATATAAATATATTTATAAATATATCCACTCTGTTACCCGGCTCAGTAATCTCAGTTTTTTTACTCTTATATGTTTGTAAATTGTACATTTTTTGCTTTAAAAATGATTGAATTATGTTGTTTTTATCTTCCGGTTAAGGGTTTTATGCCTCTAGTAAATCGGTATGCAATATTTTTAGAATTATCAACAATTTTAAAATTGTTTAAGTGCCGCTAAGCCTAATTTGATGGCGGCTATTGCTCTTGTTTACATCTGAAACAGCTTAGTAGCAGATTTGTTGCCAATCTAACAAAGATAACGCCTTCGTTTATTAAATCATGCTTAATGATTTCTGGAATTTTTTTCGAGGAAATAAGCGTTTAAGATTTACTTCGTAATTTTTAATACAGATATTTTGAGTTTTTATGTATTTTTGCCTTGTCGCGAAGTGAAAACTTAATTAATTGATGAGAAATACTCAATCGTCTGTGAAAAGTGTTTCTTTTTTGTTTTTGTTTGCTTAATTTCTTTTATACTAGTTCTAGCTTATTATAGTATTTGAATACAACATGTGGCAACGATTAGATAATTTTTTAAATGATATAAATTTTGTGCATTCTGAGTTATATTTGAACGAAATATAATACTGTTAAGTAAACCTAGCGCCAGAGTGTCGCTATGGTAAACAAAGTGAATTTTAAAGAATGCATTTATTCTATTGTGGTTTATGCGCTGTCGGCGAAGTAGGTTTAATTCAATCTAATAAGTTTAAATAAAATGCAAGAAAAAATGCGTATAATTTAATATTCCGTACAAGGAAGTCATGTGGTGTACACATCAGATTTTTTTAAGCAGGAAACATGAAAAATGTGCTTTGCCTTCGCCGGGACTCGAACCCTGGACCTCTCCAATACGCGTCGAGTATGCTTTCAATTACACTGCGAGGCATGCGGAAAAGGTGAGAGAAAATACCTTATCGGATTTTTATTTAAAAAACGAGAGCTTATTTTGAAATGTAAAGAAATTAATATTATAGAAAACAGTTTACTTTTCACCACTATATGAAATAGGAATTGTTAAAAAATTTTATTCCGCATTATTTCACTTCCAAATTTTTTAATAGATTAACTATTGTTGCTTAAAATTACAATAACAGTGCACATAAATTGCAATGGCAAATAAGTGGAAAAAAAAAAAAAAAAAAAAAAAAAAAAAAGATCAACGCCTAATTTAAATTAACTTAACTAACACTTATTTTAAAGCAAGTTCATATTATTAGTAAAGCATTAAATAACGAACATTACAGCTTGACACTAATCATGATTACGTAGATCAGCAAAATACTGATTGGCATAACAAATATCCGAACGTAATTTACTGACAAGGAGTTTTTTTTTAAAAAAAAATTAATCGTTTGTAACGCCAAGCTTGACAGTCGTCACTGTTGACCGCCGTCATCTGCAATTTGTCACTCTTAGGAAAAAAGAACACACATTTATTTTTTAATTCTTTGGCTCCAAATGATAATGAATAGTGGCATTTTGCCAATAACAACTGTATTTTCTCATTCTGGAGGTTAAGAAACTCAGAGGATGCCGGTTATGCATTTCCTACATATTTTACAGTTATAAGAAAGCACGTAACCATGATATTAGCTCACGTGCTCAACAAATGAATTGAAATGGAAGACTTAATGCGATTTAGTATACCAAATAAAGACTACCTGAAAAATATCTCACAGGAAATGCATTAAAATATTATCATGTTGCCTAATATCTTGAAATTCAAAGACATTTAAGACATTCATAAACAAGGCAAGATAAATTCAAGAAATTCAAAGGCATTTAAGGGAAACTGAAGTCACTGTGAAAATTAACTATCTACTAAATTGAAATCACTATAAGAATTAACTAGCTGCGAAATTCTCTAAAAATGTAAATGTGGGAAAAAAAAAAATCTGAAATGTTTCAGATTTTAAATTGCGTCCAAAGGGGCGTTTTTTTAACATTTTGTGTGTTACCTTTCTTTATTAAATATCATGTTCCTCGCACTTAAACCATAAGATCCAGTGCAACAGCAATATCGCAAAATAGTTTTAAAACGAGCATTATCTTTAGAATTCCGATACAGAGACTCACGCGCTGGAGATAAAAATGTTTTTTTTTCTGCACAACGTTGCCATTGCTCGCTTTGAAATCCTTGAGTTTGTTAATCAAAAATTCGTCAAAGTTTTAAAAAATAGGAAATCGATCATAAAACAAATTTCAGATTTCAAATTTGGTCTTCCACATGCTCATATTCGTGGAGGATTACGTTATTCAAAATTCGATGACTCTATGTACCGTTGTTTTATCACAATACGAGAATATAACATACATTTATGCAGATTTTTCATTATTTAATTTCTTCAAATATAATGCAGGACTCTAACATTTTGTGGCAACAGTTTGAAAAGTGAACCGACATTTATCCGTCCGACGCAAAATGTCAAAACGAAACTAATAGTCCTTCGGGATTCAAATCCTTTGGACTAATAAATAAATAAATAAATAAATAAAAATAGCATAAAATTTTCTATAATTTAACATTTTTCTGGAGGGAAGAAAAAATGAGGAAAGATGCGATCTGCTGCAAACTTTTGGTAACTTCCCAAATGCTATATAATAATACAGGATTAAAAAAAAGAAATTAATGTCATTTAAGTTAAAGAAAATTTAACTTGTTCATAGTCTGACTGTAAATTAGGACTTAAGCAATTAAGAGAGATTTGTTTTTAGTTAAAATAAAGTGAAATAATTCTGAAATTTTATAAATGAAAGCTGAATATAGGTTAAGTAATACAGAGCATCAATTAAAATTATAATCATTGTTCAATTACCAGATCTGGAAGCTTACTTTCGTGAAATTAATATTATACAGCAACATTGCATAAAAATATGTAGAAAGTAGACAGATTAAAAATATAAATAGGTTACTGATTATATATGATATTATATATATTAATAATATACATATATTAATAATATACATAATATATATAATAATCATTATTGATAATGATTATTAATAATACGATATATTAATGACAATTTTTATTTCTTCCGAAAAATTGTGCAAATGTGCAGTTTATTTTGTATATTGTTAGCCATTCTTTCTGTTCCAATATTCCTAATATTTTCTTTATTAATTCTTGGTTTATTTAATTAATTTTATTGAACTACTGCGATGTATAACATTATTTTTAGATAAATTTATAAGTTACAAAAACCAGAGGTAGAAATTTTTTGAGAAACGTATTTCTTGCAAATAATTATTTTAAAACCATAAATGCAAAAGTAATGTTATTTAAAAATGAATGTAACTGCTAATAATCATCTAATTAGACAAAAAAAAAAAAAAAAAAAGTCTAAATAAGAATAATCAAAAGCATTTTAAGCTGCCCAAACGGGATAGCGGTTAGTAACTCTGACTACTGTACTGAAGGAACCGGGTTCGAATCCCAGAGAAGGAATATATATTTGTAAATGTATAGTGTCTCTGCAGCACCATGGCACTGTAAATATATGGCGAGCCCAAAGTCCTGTCGTATGGTTTGGTGGTAAGAGAAGACCCTTGGACACATCCCCCCCGGGGTGCTCTCTCACAAATTTGTAACTGGACAAAATCGTACTGTCATCTATACGTTGCTCAAGGCTCTTGCCAAGAGACGTAATTTTGTACTATTTACCACGATAAATACCGTGGTAAATATTATAATAAACTTCTAATTTATATTCTTATTTTAAATTTTAAGTTCCATAATTTACAAGCATATAGTGTATAAGATAAATTTATTGAAAGATAAAATTTAAATAGCAAAAAGTTTAGGACATTTAAAAATGATATAATTAAGAGTTAAAGCAGCTTCAATTAAATCTTAAATTTCATAAATAAATCATTTTTTTTCCAAAGAATGAGAAGAAAAAGTGGTAGTTACTCAAATATATGAAAAAATATAAGTGAAAATAAAGATAAAACCAAGATATTTTTTACAGAAGTAATTTAAATTGAACCTAAAGGCAAGCAAAATGATACAAAGATTTTTTTTGAAAATTGAGCATTAATTCTTAGAGCATGCACTTAATCAAGTGGAAGGCCAAACCATTTTATAAATTAAAACGACTGAAATTTTCGAGTCTGACCTTCCCCCCTGATTAAGTACAGGCTCGAAGCATTTTGACATGTTAATTTTTTTAGCTTCTTAGCTACGATTTCTAACCAAATTTGGCCTAAGGCTTACCTTTCCTTGTACTAGTCACCTTACTTTTAGGCTCAACTGTGTTTTATCTTTGTACTAGTCTTATCTTTGCGCTGGTTTTGATTGTACTAGTTCAGTTATCTGTGTACTAGTTGGCTTTAGGTCTTATCTTTGTACTAGTTACCTTTAGTTAGTTTTAGGCTCAACTGAAATTACCTTTGAGAAAAAATGCCTCGGTTTTATTTTATTTTTATTTATACTTTTTCACGCATTTTAATGATTAACATTTTTTTTCCCTCCTTGGTCTCTAAAAGTAGTTGTTTTATTTATGGAAAATACAAGATAATACATAACAAATGGTTTAAAAAATTTAAAGGGGTAATCATTGCAGCTGTGATTCCTATGCTCTCAGTTAATGAGTTAAGCAAGTTGAGACGTAAAAGTACTGCTCACCTTTCCGTATCTTGTGGCGTAAGACCCTGTTAAAAGGGAGTGGAATATAATGATGGTCTCGTCAAGGTCCCACACGAAGACCCTCTCCAAGTTATTTTCCGGATCTGGACTCGGGTTGTTAAGTCTTCGTCCTCTTCCCTTTCCGGATTTGCCGCCTAAAATCGAGGGAATAAAAAATATGATTTATTAATGAAATCAAAATTTTCAATTTTTTAGAAACATATTTTTTTTAATTTATTCTCTGCACCTGGGGTAACGGGAAAAAATCAGTTTTGAATAATAAAATTAATAGATTAATGATATACACAAAAGTGATACATAATCAACCTATCAAATATCGGGTTTGTAGCGCACTTTAAATAAGTTTCTTGTCTAGATGAGTAATAACAAATCTTCTTCTTAGATAGCAGATTGGCTTTTAACTTTCAAATTTACCATTTTAGGTAAACAGTTCCAATTTAATTTAAACAATTCTCTTTATTAAATCTAAAAATTGGATTTCTTAAGTGGTTCTAAATGCACACTAATATTATTGCAATATATTGCAGTATTAAGCTTTCCATTTGTAGTTATTGAAGTTATTTTGAGGTTATTTAACTTTCTTACAAATTCCATATTTTAATACTAGAAACGTTTAAATATTTATTCTGTTATCCAGTTACTCTACCTGATGTACTTTGGCATACATTTAATTTCTAATGCACATTTAATTAATAAATTCATAATTATGAGCATGTGCAGAATTTTCATAATTAACAAATAAAAAGAATCGAACTCCCTTATATTCATATCTTGGGATTTTCAGTTCCCTTTTAATCCATTCCTTTTTCAGATCTTATTGTGCCGTATTCAAGTTTTCATGTATGTAGAATTTATATATTTTGTATTGCATTTATGGCAATTTACATTTAAAGGATAATTTTTAGAAATTCTTGCACCATAACTCTAGTTAACAGAAGATGTTTCTAACACCTTGGTAAAGTTTAATCTTCAGAACGCAGCTGATTTTCCAACCTAGTTTCAGGCTGAATTATTTGTAAAATTAATTATTTGAAATTATTTATTAACAAAGATGGTCACTAAATTACTCTAATAATATTTCTTACTGTTGTAATTTATAATACAACGAGTTCATGTGATTTATAATGTAATTCATTTATAATTTTTTCAGCAGTATTGAAATTAATAGCAGCTACTGATAATGTTATACATTTAGGTTACAATGATTTAGATTGCCATTGCCTTCTTCACTGATGCTTTTATGCTACATTCCTAAAATTTCATAATGGCATACAGATAAGTTTAACTCATTCACGAAACATGTAAATCTCTAATTCAGCCAACTTTTGTTCTTATCTGTATTTCTATTTTCCTTAATATATTGTTCAGCCTAATTTCAAAAGGTCTTATGATCAAGCGGAAAAGTCACTAAACGTTAGTATTAGTAGTATATTATTAGTAGTTTTCAAAAGCAAATTTTAGGATAAAAATTGCGAGCAAAAAAGACATATCTATTGAAGGACTTGTATTCACTGAATATTGTATAACTGAAAAACGATAAGCCAAAAATTTAGGGGAAGACAATTCGAGTTCGACCAGCCGAGCAAAGTTAATATTAATTTTGAATTCACATCGTGACATTCAGTAAGAGTTATCGAAGTTCTGCTACGAATAAAGTTGAAAAGTTAAATGGAGATTCATTGCTTACCTTTCTTTGTAGCTCCATTTGTTGTTTCTAATTTCACCGGTGATGATGAGTGATGACTTTCAAGGACGAACTGCGTGACTGAAACTTCTGAAATAAAAAATGAAGCTGTGGAAGTGATCTAAAGATTCATATTTGAAATCATTTATCAAATAACTTAATAAAAATCCGAGTTTTAAGATTATAGACTCTAGTATTTTTTGGTAACATAAACTCACGAGCTCTAGAAAGACTGTAGAGGAATTATCCTCGGGTTTTTAGAAGTAGGCAGACAAAATCAGAAGAGTTAAATAGCCCTTTTATTTCATCACAAATAACTGACAGTCGATCCCACTTGGGTTTACATAAGCCAACACTTCTGTCTTAACTTAAAAGAAGTAATGATGAACTTAAAATAAAATGTAAATAAATGTAAAATAAATGTAAGGATCACAGGATAAAGTAAACACGCAGGAAGGCTCTGGCTCATAGCAGCCGGCAGCACAAGTCTAATGGCTAGAAGCACTCAACGCCACAGAATTAAATCACTATTAAGTCACGGTAAGAATGTGGCCTCAAACAGGCAGATCACGCTCTAAAACCACCTTGCGAAACCTTCGCTTAAATAGTAATTCTTTTGCCCTTGCCCTTAATCGGAATAAAATCGTAAATATCTAATTTACATTCTGGCAAGGAAAGCATGGGTGAAAAGGAAAGTGAAAGGGAGTAGCTTTAACTAAAAATTAACTATTAGTAATTAGCTTTAACTAAAAATTAACTATTAGTAATTAGCTTTAACTAAAAATTAATTATTAGTCAAAATAAATAAATAAATCCTCGCAAGATACTAATCCAGAATCAGTCAATCTTAATTTAACTTTTACTGCTCTTTATTTGCTATCTACAGTTATTATTTATTTATTCACGTGTAGGTAGGTCTCTTGTTTCAAGTTTTAATTTTTTGCCTGCCAATATTATCTACAAATTAAATATCCTTAAATATTTTCTCGTTTATCACTAACTTCGCATTTTATTATTCTTAATTATTCATCTATTATGAAACAAATATTGTAATTGTTAATGCAAAGCACCTTTCGAAATTTTATTGTCATATTATTAAAGCGGGTTAATGAAAAAAAAAAAAAAGTATCAAGCCTGCTGTGGATCATGACGGGAATGTGGAAAGTGAATACGACCATGTAACTATAGCTATGCGGACTAAAGCTTTACAGAAATATTTCCTTTTCAACATTTCCCAAACATTCTCCCCCCCTTAATTTCAGTTTTTATTTATTACAGTACTGCTGACGGTACTTTTTGGACCATTAAAAAAAATTCAAAAATTTTTAACTACCAAATTTTTATTATTTACTGCTGTTTAAATCCATTGTCACTAGTGTTTCCATCTTTACATCAACGAAGGTAGATAACTGAACACTTCATTAACATGCAGCATTAACGTAATTGTACTGTTGAAGAAGTAAATATTACCATAAGTTGAAGCTAAGTCACATTATGACTTTCAATGAGATTCAGTTTTTAGAAACACTGACAGCCATTGGAATCTTGCATAACCATAGTATTCTTGCATAGTTGTCACACTTTTGTCCAAACACACAGACAAAATACCTAGAAAATATATTGTGCTGCATGCTAGAAAAAAGCATTTAAAAAAAATGTCCTAGACTGTATAGATAATACGATGTTGGTTATCGCTGGATGGTACATTATAAGGTATTTTCTCCCTTCTTTCCGTGTGCCTTCGTCGCTTACCTGGAAGCACCCTGAACGCGTATTAGGCAGATCAAGAGTTCGAATCAATTTTAAAAATTACCAATTGGATGTCCATGGCCAGGGATAGAAGAGCTTGGAATTCGATTCTGAGGAAGGCAAGGGCCCATCCTGGGCTACCTGGCCATTGAAGAAGAAGAGTTCGAATCGCGAGATGGGCATTGCGAATTTCTTCAGTTTCCTGACATAAAAAAATTCTAAAAGGCTTAACAATTGACGCCGGAATTAAAAAGGTGGTGGACGATAATTCGTCCCCACCAGGATTTGGTGATTGGGTCCCCTAATTTCCAGTTGGTCTTCTCCCTCTTCCGCCTGCAGGCAGGGTTAACTGCAAGCACGCTCGACGCGTATCAGGGAAGTTCAGATTTCGAATCTTGGTGAAAGCATCGCACATTTTTCATGTTCCAGCATCGATATAATTTAGTGATTCTACAAGATCTTTCATCCGAAGGCTAGAAGTTGTATGGAGGCACCTAATAGGCGGTCACTGTTACCTTCTATGATGGGGCAGACAATTTACATCTATGCCTTCTCCGGGATTCGAATCCAGGCCCTTCGGTATCGCAGTTGGCTCCTCTAATCACTATACCGTTTGGGCGCCATGTCTCAAATGTTAACCATTGAATAACTGTAGACGACTTAAGCTACTTCTGCAGAATGGAAATCTGCTGCGCTTGATAAACTTTGTTAGGCATTTCATAGCTCAGTAAAGATTTTGAACATAGTTAACATAAGAATTTAATTTCAGTCCTTTTAAAGACATCGAGTAGTATAATGCAGACGGACTAAAAGGTGCGGATTTCAAGTAATTTAATCAACAATCCCTTCCATCTTATTCAAAGTCAACAGACTTCTAAATATTTGGCAGAGCTACAAGAGTCCTGTCGTTACTACCACTTTAAAACTTTTCCCATTAACTCTCGCGCTTTTACCACCGAGAACTGTCCTCCCCTTTGACGAATAAAATGTGGTTTTTCGGGATTTTTTTGTTTATTTATACAACATATGAAGAGTGCTGTTAGCACCTTTTTTGCACTTCATCAGTCAGCGTCAGTCGTGAGTGACTGGGAACGAAAGTTGAATGTTTTTGTTGGAGACCATCACCAACAGTGGAAAAGACCTCCTAAACGACTTCATTGTAAGAGAGGCTTTCCTTCGATGTGTCTTGATGACAGATACTCCTGAGAGTTTTACTTCAGTGAATAGAGATACTGACAAAAGGATTTTGATGGGGAAATAGTTAAGGGAAAAAATCCCTCTTTCTTCAGCTTCTCAATGGGTACCTTTTGTTCGGAAGCGGTATCCTCTTTAAAGATTTAATCTGTGTTTAATTAATTTATCATTTGCTCAAATATAAAGCAAGCATAGCTATCTCTGCATTGGTGTTCCAGAATGAAATGCAGCGTATAGTCAATTATGATAACAAACTAAATTTAGATGCTTGCAGTTTACCTAATGAAATGAGACTGTTGGAAACTGAAAGTTAGCTGGGGAAAAGACTTTTAAGTGCATAAAAAAGTGGATATTCTCCAGTAAATTTTCAAAATAGCATGAAAAAGTGCAGGTTTCGCATGAAACAGAAAATCTGGGAGGTAATTTATATTTTAAATAGGATACTTCAAATACTTTAATGTAAATCTATGTTCATCTACAGGTAACTTTCTGAAATATATGCAAGTTGAATTCGGGATATCACCAAAGCATTATTCTAAGTCCTTGGAAAAATATATTACAGTTAATTATCTTATGAAAACTGTCCATATTTCTAAAGGATTTAGCCTTCTATGGAGGTGGTGACCCAAGACAGCTCACAATCAATACCAAAGTTTAACTATATTCTCAGAAATAATAGTCATTTTCTAATGTGATCTTCTTAGAAAAGCGGTCACTTCGGGAAATGTTATGCTCATTGAATTCACCTCTGATAACTGCTTGAAAAAACAGATTTCTCTTTGAGAATAAGTATTTAAATGAGAAAATTATTCCATGTAAATTTTTAATGACATGTAATTTCGTTGTCAATATTTAAAAGGCTCAAATAATTGTTTAGATTAAAAGATTGTTTAATAAATTGTAAGGTTAATCCTAACTTGTTAACAGTTATTTTTAGATAAAGCCACTTTAATTTCAGCTTACAATTTTCTACCACAATGCGTTTTTAGAATCGCGGTTAAAAGCAAATGCAGTACTTAAAGTCGAAGTTCCACTGACTTCGTTGGTTGGTTGGTTGGTAACGGAGGACGGGCACGCCTGATGTCTAACAGAGGTAAACAGGCATGTGTCCCGCGTCCTTGACTAACCAGGAGCAACTCCCTGAGGCCTCAAGAGGTCGCCTCGGGAGCTTGTTAGAGAACCAGAGATTCTGAGTAGTGCGCGTTCGCAGTTTGGCTACACTCTGCCTAAACTATTACTACGCTCGGCCGTGATTCAAGCCCCTGATAGCTTCGCCATTTAGTTAGCGATTAACGAGCCAACTCCTGTAGAATTTTGATAGCTTCGGCGCTATATCTTTTTAGTTAAGCATTAGTTTAGTTCTTAGTATTCTTGAGTTAAAGCCCAAGTGGAGGCTGGTTTGTACGCCTGAGAAAGGCCCATATGTAAACTTTATTTTGAACAATGAAGGGTAATTAACACTTCTTTAGTTTCTGTTCTCTGAGCTAAAGCGATTATTCGCTTACCAGTTCTCAAGGTTCCACACACTTAGCTGTAAATTCTAGGTAGGAACCTTATAAAATAATCAATTTATATATATATATATATATATAAAACTGTTGTGGAAAACATACCTAACGTAGAACATGGCGGCAGTTGGGACAGTTGGTATGTTGCTGTCGTTGGAACACTAGGAGATGTTGCTAAACTCAAAGGCGAATTGCTGTTTGCCTGAGGCATGTAATTATAACCTTGAGTGGCATAATATGGATACCCACTTTGGCTATATCCACTGTAAGAACTGTAGTCGACACTCTGAAATAAAGAAAGATAGTACAAATGAATTAGTGTGCTTTGTTAATAATTTTATTTGTGCATCTATAAGGAGTACAGGAACATTGTTTTAGACATTTATATTAAATGAGAAAAAAAGGCTGCTGGTGATGAAACTACAAGAATTAAAGTTTCTGCTTTATATGTCCTGAAATCACATTTCACCACTGTGAGTATGAGTCAGTATATGTACGCAGAATACTACGCATGTGCACATATAAGCAAACAAATATTATTCGTAAATGTGATTAAAATTTGGAATTGTCAAACTGAGTATTTCATTCAATTATCAAAGGTTTTATGATTTCTCGATGTCTTTTTCAAATGCATATAAGGGAAAAAATTTCACTGAAAGTACAGTTCCATTTAGCCAACAGGTAATAATTAAAATAATGATAACATTTACTTCATAGAATACGGATGGAGATGTCATCAAAACTTATATAAGAATATAGGCAATTAATTCTTCATCTTCAAGAATATACCATTATTGACATCTTTTCTTCTGAGCAGGAGTGAATATTATATATTTAAAAAAAATAATACTTTGGAAAGTAACTAAAAAAATATAGAACCCTACAAATTATGTGGACAATAATAATAACACGTAAGTAACGTGTTTGTCTTTTTGGAGAAGTCACGAAAATTAACAATGTGATGCTAGCCAATTAACTGTAGCAGAGAAAAATAACTATTACATATTGTTACGAATTTGGTATTTAAAAAGCTAATGTTGGTTCAATTATAAATTAAATGGTTTTATTTCTCGCGCAGTGCAGCGCGTGACGAATATTAAAAGAAAGCTAATCCGCGAATTCGCTACAATCAACAAGAGCAGTTTTCTAAACAACAACAAACTAAGCAACTCCTACGAACTGAGATGTTTTCCTCCTTTTATAAGATTTTAAAATCACGCGCTAGAATTTTCCAGTACTTTCTCGAAATCAAAAAGAGCTATTTATTTATTTAATTCACGCGCTCTTGTATTTTCAATTTTTCCGGCTTAGCTTTCTTTTAATATTCGTCACGCGCTGCACTGCGCGAGAAATAAAACCATTTAATTTATAATTGAACTAACATTAGCTTTTTAAATACCAAATTCGTAACAATATGTATTATAAACATCTTTTAAAGTTAATTTGCTATAATATACAATATATATAATAAAATACTTGCCTTTAGAAGTATTTCCCATTTTAGGCTATAACCTTCCATTCTCAACAAAAAATTAGTTTTGAATTTCTGAAAATTAATTTTGAATTTTGAAATTCTGGAAAATCATCAGAGAGCACTCCATTGCAAATTGCCACAATAATTTACATAGTTTTGTATCTTTATTTACATTATTTTAGAAGCTTGCTTTTATCACTTTAGATGAGTAGATTCATATCTATTTCTTTTTTTAAAAAGCCGGGAGTTTAAGGGTTAGGAGAACTCATTGCAAAAGATAAAAATATATAAACTTACTTGCTGAGATGGATAAGATTGTGCATTTGCAGCATTGCTGGAAAAACCACTAGCCGAGTAAGCACCACCTGTAAAATTAAAATTAGTATTATATTTTCGAAACGTGAAAGGCGAAAAATGCCCACAGTAACCATAAAAGGAATTTTTAAATTCGCTATTATTATTATTATTATTATTATTCCAAATTTATTCTAATTATTTCTTTACCTTGTTTAATTTTCTTAGCACATTGATTAGAAACTTTGAAACATAACGGAAAACATTGCTCTTTCAAAGATTAGTCTCATTTCGAAAAATTTTGTTTCATTATGTAGCAATTTATTTTGCACTTTGGGGTATCTGAATATCAAAGTTTATAAGTATCAAAGTTTATAAGCGATTTTTGAGTCTAAAGATTAGGAACTTTCTATTGTATAATCAAATATGTACTACACAAACAGAGATGGGGGAATTCTATATCAGCATAGTACAACAAATAACAAGTAATATTATTATATGAAAAATATTACTTGTCATTTGTTAAAAACAAGTAATATTATTATATGGAAACTAATAAATGTGTATTAATTTAGCAGTCAAACAACAAAAATCAACGTTATATTTTCTAATTTTCACAGGACTTTTAAGGTTGATGTCAGTTGAGGCAAAAAAAAAAAAAAAAAAAAAAAAAAAAACAGCAGCAAATATGTTAATGCAATTGAAGTACGCTGAAACCTTGAATTTTTTTCAAAATAACTACTTCAAAAACAGTAGTCAGCGTTATTTGTTGCCCACTTACGGTCGCGAGCGGTAAAAGCGGCTGAACACTGGTAGTTCGGTCCGCTGCTTCGAGTCTCGCCAACGGGCTGGCTGCATGAATGTTTTCGCGGTTTGTACCTCGATACGAGACAGTTTACTTTAAAAAGACCTCCGCGAAGCATCCTTTCTTTTCCGTGTAATGCCTAATGGCTGGAGCCGTAATAAAAATAAAAATTGCTAAATGCTCTTTGCATGACATTATGCAGATAGCATTCGAAACAAAAATAAGTTGTCGTTAACAGAGATTGTGATAACTTTTTTTTTTTTTAATATTGAACGCTATCCTGATTTGAAATATGATTTTTATTACTTGTTTTTGGTTTTCAAGACGTATTTAATTCATTACGTCAAGTAATTAAACTTTCAAAAAGTCCTTCGACTAGTTCTCATTTTGAAATTACATGTGCTCCAGCTTTCATTCCTTTTCGATTATGAGAAGCCAGACCGTATCAACAGACTCTGAGGATGGCATTTCGCGGTCTCGAGTTGGTCATAATTTGTCTTGTATAACATAAAATAGTTTCCTAGCTATTTTTAATTTTGAATGTGGAGCTTTGAATGGCAATAAGTTCGTGTAAACTCGAGCAAAATTTCTTGCACTGATAGAAATATATGCATTAATCGTGAGATTTATTGGCTTAGTATGTATTAACCCCCCCCAAAAAAAATAAATAAGTAAGTAACAAATAAAAATATTAACGCTTTCAGATTTTATATTACGCCTAAACGAGCGTTCCAGGTTCCCATGTTTTTATGGAGGACTATGTTATTCAGAATTTGATGACTCTACTTACTGTTGTTTTTTCAAAGTGCGATAAACAAACATATACATTGATGTAGATTCTTCATTATTTAGTTCCTTTAAATATAATACAGGGCAATAATATTTGGTACCAACAATTTGAAAAGTGATACAGCCGTTTATAGTGATTCGAAGCAAAATTCCATTTTGAGACTAATAGCTTTTCGGGGCTAATGCCAATTTGGGTTAAAAGCATTGATTCGAAATTAAAGTGAATGAAGTAATACATGAACTAAATAAATTTCGCTATCTAAATTCATTTTAATAAAATTAATCATTTTTGAATGAATAAAATTCCGCTATATATCCCAAATTAATTCTCCTTATAATATTTTCAATATTTTATATATAAATAAGATAATCAAATAATTATAAATATCATCAAATTCAGTAATTTATAAAAGCACTTCATTAATCGAATCTATTTATCTATCGATCTTACTTCCTACATCAATCTGTCTTTCTGCGTAGGTCGAATTTAGCTATATTTGGTCGGCTATTAAAAACGCATTAACGTACCCATAACACAACTACAAACGAATCTATAGTCATTATAGTTGAACTGTGCCTACAGCGGAGAAGCTTGACGATTTTGGCAGAGTAACAGTGTAAAATGTAAAAGAAAAGCTAAACAAGAATAAAAACAATCTAGCAGATTAAAATAAACAGCTGGCGGCACCGCTTGAGATAAATCCGTGCCACTTTCAAAATTGTGGTAAACAGTCTCTCTCTGGGTAATCCATCAGTCGTTTTTCACGCCTTAGTCCAGAATACGCTGGCTTGGCAAGACCTCCATTTTTGCCCCGAGCCTAATTGCCTGGAACTAATAGAAGCTTTCCTGGGCTGTAATTAGAATTTTACTCTGCATTCGGGCAAAAAATGAGTTGTAAAACAAAATGACTTCTACTTTTCTTATCCGTTCGTTTCGTTACTTATTTCAAAAGCAGTGTTTCCGAATACAGTTTTTACTAACTCTTAAATTACATCCGATATATGATATGGTAGACAGTATTAACATATTAATATTTTTTTCAATACCGAAGTGAAGATCAAATGCAAAATTCTGCATTTCGTTATTTAAATATGTAGAAATAAAAGAATTATTGGTAAAAACGAAAGGATTAATAATGATTTCATTTAATATAAATCCTAATGCTCTAATGCTCTTCACTAATTTTAATTTCGGTTATAATTAACAAAACTGTGTTCCAAGACAATTCTATAAAATTTGATCAACCGTTTGCTTAGTAAAAGATAGAAAAAATGATAAACCCAAGTGAGTTTATTTTCAGTTGGAATTTTCATTCATAATATGCTTTAAAATTGCATCAACTGACTAAGACACTAATTAACTAAGATATACAATGGTCCGTAAAGTCATGGTGCACATTTGATCGGTCACAGGAAAGCAATAAAACAGGATAGAAATGTGAAATCTTCAGCAAACAAAAGGAAAATTCTCCAAGGTTCCCTAGTATAATGTGCAAGCATGTGCGCACACAGGTGATGATGCAACACCGCGAACTGCGAAGTAGCAGATCAGCCCATCCACGTCCCACGCCAGTCGAGATGTGGACCGTACAGAGGAAAGTTCAGTGTGTTCTGTTGCTTGTCAAATTCGAAACAGTGACCAAGGTGCAACGTGAATATCTTCGCATGTACAACGAACTGCCACCACATAGGAATAACATTAATCGGTGGGATATCGGCTGCTGAAAATCCTCATGCTTACGTAGAGTACGAACAAAGAATCTCTAAGGAGAAGAATGAAAGCTTCCATAGACACAATGTAAACCTGTTTCGCCTCTGCGCCGCTGTACCGAAGAGCCACGGCTATGCAGTGAAACACCAGCGCAGGGTGAAATTTAAACAGCGCAGTTCGAGGAGATAGTAAATTTTTTACTTTGAAATAACTCAAAATGTTTTATTTTCATACATTTCTGGAGTTTTATGAGCAAAATATGTTAGTTGGAATTTTGGGGCGAATTATAGAAATCCTGTCTAGTTTTTACTTTCAATTTAAACAGCGAGCCGTACGAAGACAAAATTTAAATGAAATAAATTTCTTAATTCTTTTATTCTGTAAACTTAAAAAGGGGGGAAAACACATGCCATACAAACGTAATAAATTTTTATGGATCCATAGTTAAAATTTTACAGTGAAATTTTAAAAGCAAAATTTGCAATAACTAACTGAAACAGAAAAAAATATCTAAAGACAATTAAAGGCACCCCTAAATAAACTGAAAACACTGATATACATTATAATTATCCGACAACAACTTTAAAAACAAATTACCCTGAAAACGTTTAGACAATTATTTGGAATGACCGTTGTGAAAACCAAGAGCAAAGTTTTCACCCAATAGCCAAAACCATTTCACTTACAGCATTGCATTTAAAAAGTCTTTAAAAGAATTTCACATAGCTAAAACCAAGTACCTCTGACTACAACAACAAAGAACGTTTTCGAACGACGTGGTAAAAGATTGCTAACATGGACGACGGCATGCTGCATTCTTTGATGCTGCTTTGTTGCCTCCTGATGTTATTTCGCACATGCGCAGTGAGGTACGGAGGGTGGATAGCTTTGGAATGGTTTGTCCCTTTAAAGTAAGCTTCAGGGATATACATAATGTGTCTCTTCGGTCTGACGGAGCCACATTTGCCCCGGGGAACCTTTACTTCTTCTCCTTAGAGATTCTTTGGTACGAACGTAACAGCCCTAAAGTGAATGTGTAGTGTGTCCTAATGCATGATAAAATGATAGGACCATTTTTCTTTGCGGACTAGACTGTGATGGTATGGATGGAGCTCACACCGAACTGCACTGGATTAGGTATGAAACTTTAAGTTTCCTTTTGTTAGGTGAAGATTTCACATTTCTATCTTGTTTTGTTGCTTTCCTGTGAAATTTTGTCTAATGTCCATTTGGGCTAAAAATATTTAAAAGCAGCTTATCTTTAGAATTTCCGATACACAGTCTCGCGCGCTGGAGATAAAAACTTTTTCTTTTCCGCACAGTGCTCGCTTTGAAATCGTTCAGTTTCTTAATTAGAAACCCATAAATGCTTTACAAAATATGAAATAGATAATAAAGCAAATTCCAAATTCGGGCTTCCAGGTGCTCATATTCGGTTGGAGATGTACATTATTCAAAATTTGATGGCTCTAGGTACTGTTGTTTTTCCACAATACGAGGTACTACATACATACATTCGTGCAGATTCTTCATTATTTAGTTTCCTTAAGTATAATACAGGGCGATAATATTTGGTTGCAACAATTTGAAAAGTGATACAACGCTTTTAGTGATTGAAACCAAAATGTCATTTCAAGACATTTTGGTTTCAATCAAAATGTCTTGAAAATGTTGTTCTAATAGGACAAAATGTCTTGAAATGTTGATCTAATAGGACAACTTTATAGGAATGGAAATTCTCCTCTCCCCGCCAGACAGTTTCTCAT